AAAAATAAAATAAAATAAAAATAAAATAAAATAAATAAAAGGAAAAATCTTAGAGATTAAAACAATAGGATGATTTCCACAAGGAACAAGAATTAATACCAACTGTCACTGAGTGAATAATTACTGACAGTCATGTTTCTATACAACTTTCTTGTCAGAAGCTTAAATTTAGGTCAGGAATGTTCAGCTCTAAGTTGCTGACAAGTTAACATTCTTTACCCATTGGTTTGACTCAGCAGCTATCGGCTTCTCTAAGCAGCCAACGGGACTTTGAAATGAAAAACAGATGGCAACACAGCAAGAGAAGGCTGTAACAGAGTTGTACGCCAGCAAATTGTATCAAGATGTTGCAATGTACTGAACACAGGAGGATGATGGAAACTGGGGCAAGTTCTGGATGTCTGAAAGACATTACGCTGTACGTGCATCACACAGTGTCCTAAATCTGTTCAATTTTTTTTTTTCCACGAAGTAATGTTGGGGAGTGTCGTCACTAAATACACACACACTCTCTCTTGTACACACACAGTCGGGCCACATGTTCAGCAGCCAGCCTGTTGAATCCACCACAGATGAACCTACTGAACTGTGTATAGAAAGACCAGGCAGCTGACGCCTGGTTGTGAGCAGAGAGCTAGATGTGAAGCAAAGCAGAAGTCACAGTCCACGCAACAAGAGATCCTGATCAGAAATCAACTGAAATCAAGTAAGTTTTAATTAAATGATGCATGCAGCAGCTCAACGTTTTATTTCTAACTTCATTTTTTGTGGCTCTGTTAAAAGAAATGGAGATAAATTCAGAAAAAAAGAAGTGGACATAATTCTAGTTTAAAGGTTTGTTTATTGTTTTTGATTTCTTGCTTTTATGATTAAAAAAGTGTGTGTGTGTGTGTGTGTGTGTGTGTGTGTGTGTGTGTGTGTGTGTGTGCATGTGTGTGTGTGTGTGTGTGTGTGTGTGTGTGTTGGGATCTGCAATAAAACACCAATCAGCTGTTAAAAAGATAACTAACACTCAAAGAAAATACCATCCATATTTCTTTTGGATGTTGAAACAAGGAGACAATAGGCGATTGAGATTAAAAAGCAGAGCAAAATCCGATCTTTCTTGCAAATGAAGATGTCTCACACTTTAAGGTTGGCTGAAAAAAATGCTGATATCCGCATACCAGCTGAATGGTGTTTTTGTTCAAAGCGATTATTTAAGAAAAACAGAGATTAAGCTCTCTTTAAACATGGTTGATATTCAGGAATTTCTTGATCTTTATTTTTAACTCTGTTCCTGGTTCCTTTAACGTAGCTTACTGTGATTTTCTTTAAGTGCTCCTTCCATACAGTCCCTACATTCTGCCTTTATCTGAGTCCTTGCAATCACTTTCAGTAGAGAGTTCCTGGATTTGACCCAAAGACTCCTCCCAATGGGAGGTTCCCAGGAAACCTCCAGGAGGAGAAACGTATGAGCCACCTTTCACTGAGCCTTTCCGATGAGGAGCATCAGCCCTACTCCAGGCTTTCTCCAGAATATGAAGCCTCTCCCCAAAATGGCCATCCTAAAACCCAATTCATCAAATTTTCAAACTCAAGAATGCAGTTTTTCCATGAACATGAAATGAGCATAGCTGTACCTGGATATGTTGAACAGCTGTCTATCTGAGTCCTTTTAAACTGAGAAACATTGAGGACAAACTTTTTGTTCTTCATGCAGAAAAGAGTTGCAACATTTCCCTTCTAAGACAAAAGCTTAGTGACTGCTCTGTGTGTAGGCAAAGACTGACACCAAATAAACCCTGGGCATCACTTTACCCCTAAAAGTTCTTTAGTGACAGTTTTCAGCTGTCAGTTATTTTTAAATTAGATTAAGTTACAATGAAATTCCTGCAAAGATTATTTCAACGTCTGCTTTCAACAATGCTTTAGTTTTTAACATGTTTTAAATATTTTTTTGCACAAAATAAGGGGCATGCAGGCACAAAAAGGGTAAGATTTAAACTCCCTGCACTAGTAGAAAGCTTTTCTTCGATTCTTATGCAGCATACCAGGGAATTTGTCTCCCCCTAGTGGAGAAAAGTTAACATGAAACCTAATTCTTAAATAATTGGGACACTATTACTTTTAGAAAATGTTCCTAAACACAATGAAATAGAGAAAGATGTTCTAAACAAAAGCGAAAAACACACTGCAAATAATAAAATTAAAGCATAGCTGCAAATATTGGAGAAAGTAACAGCAGGTTACGGCACCATATGAAATGTAGCTTTTGCAGGAGTAAAATTTGGCCAGAAAGGCAGAAAAAATGAAGACCGACACCAATATTTTTCAATTAGATCACACAGAACGTGTATCTAAAATGTGCAAAAATTAGAAAGTATTTTAGAAGCACAAAAGTGTTGTTAAAATGGATCGAAGTGAAAAAACAGCCAGAAAAAAGATGACCCAGAGGACATTTCATTGGGTAAAAAAACTTAAGGAGATGTTTTGAGAAAATATTAATTTATAGATAAGACAAAAGTTAGACCATTAAACTCCCAATCTTTTATCAAGAGACAGTGAACAAGGTTTGCTTTGCTAGGAACAAGTTTAAGCATTACCTGTTGAGCTGTAAATTTCTTCTTTGTCTAAGCAGCATTTCTTGGACCTCAGCAGCACAGGACTTGACCCTGAACAGCAGGAAAGATGGAGTGCAGCAGGGATCCAAACGGCTACAGCTTGACATTGGTCAAACCAAGGCCTCCTCCATCAACACAAAGCCAGACAGACTCTTTCCTGACCGCAGCCCGGTTGGCCCGTGAAGGACTGCTGGAGGACGGAAAAGCAGGACGGCAGTTTTCTGCTCTTAGACAGTCTCCTTCTTCACAAGAAAACCATGGTGTTGTCTTGAAAGACCTGAGGATCAGGCGGTACACCGTCATCTCAAGGAGGAAGATGGAAAAAGACAGAAAGACGGACAATGAAGAGGGAAAGCAAACCCTTCAAGGTGCCTCCTCACCAAAAACAGAAGTAGAGAGACAGAAAGTGTGTTTGAGTCCATCTGGCTGTCGTTTCACATGTAGACAACCTGGAAGGTTTAAAGTTGCAATATTACCAGTAATAGCGGAAATTTAGGCAACACTACAGTCAGGGTTCCAGACTTGTTGGTAAATTTGTGGTTTTGAGGTCTGAAAAACACCTGAAGACTAATGTTTGGTTATTCCTAACATCAGCACTATCTAGTTTAAGAGAAAGTCTTTGTGTAAGGGTATTAGATTAAGCACTTGACTTAAGTACTGAGACTACAGGACATAGCCATCAACCTTTTATTAAATACATCACCTGAAGTCAGCAGTTTGTATTTGACTGTTTTCCAACTAAGACACAGTGGCTTCTAGGGTGCTGCGGTGGTGCAGGGGCAAAGCATGACCCACATATTGAGGCCTTGGTCCTTGTGGTGGTGGTCACAGGTTTGATTCCCAGCCTGGCAACATAAAGACCACTAGAGCCAATAAAACCTTTAAACAAAAAAACACTGGCTTCACCTTGCAAACTTAAGAAAGTGGAACTGACACGCATAATTTCAGGGAGAAAAACATTTATATTTGAACACATTTCCATCTATTGGAAAACACTGACATCTAGTGGCCGTAAGTGGAAGTTCATGTGCACAAGATTTTTCCCCTTATCAACCTGTAATTAATATATTTTATTTAGATAGTAGCACATTATTGTATGTGGAACGGAACTGCATTTTTTTTTTTTTTTTACATTTTTGTCATTAAAAAGAACCTGAAAAGTGTGGAGTGCATTTCTGTTCAATCGCACAAAACGTAGATGTGTTTGATAGATCTAGGGAGACTGATGTAATATAGACATGAAGATGAGCAAAATAAAATGGCTTTTGGCTAATTTTGCATTATCATACTATAATGTAATATAGTCAAGCTAAAAGTACCACTGTGGTCAGTAAGTACAAATCAGCAAGAAAAAACGGTTGGTTGGTTGGTTGGTTTATTTATGCTCTGCCACATTTCTTGAATTTACTTTTGTTGAGCGAAAATGCTACTTTCATTTTGTGGTTGTTAATTTAACCAAGTACATAAAACCTGTGGTCTGCTCTAACATAATGAATGACAATTTAACTAATATCATAACTGTGTTCAGAGGCTCTTCAAACGCTGACCAGAGACCCAACACTTGAATGGACTACGTGTCAATCTTCAAGATATTAATAAAATTAGAATATTATGAAAAAGTTGATTTATATCAGTAATTCCAGTCAAAAAGTGAAACTTGTATATTATAATCGTTCATAACACAGATTTATATTTTTCAAATGGTTATTTATTTTAATGTTGATGATTATAACTCACAACTAATGAAAAACCCAAATTCAGTATCTGAGGAAATTAAAATATTACTCAAGACAATACAAAAAGAAGATTTTAGAAATGTTGACCAACTGAAAATCATAAGTAATTACAGCACTCTGTACTTACTTGGGGCTCCTTTGGCCTGGATTACTGCAGCAATGCAGAATGACATGGAGTCAGTCAGTGTGATATCCCCCTCCACTTTACATGGAGGGATCCGTCATTTTTCTAATTGCTCTTTGTCCCAAGGCGCACCGGAAGGGGCAGCACCAGGATCCGCTAGGCCCCAGTGCATCTTGGTTATATAAGCAGCCTGTTCCAGTGTGCCAAAGGGGGGAAAGAGAGAGAAGGGACTGGAGGAGCGGAGTTGAAGCTGGCTTGGAGCTGAGCTGTTCTCTCCATCCAGCTCCGCTCTTCAGACTGGCTCTTCCCCAACTTGCCTGCCCACCCCGACTTTGTTTGGTTTTTGCTTTGTGTTGCATTGCTTTGCTTTTTTTTCTGCAGGACTCGCCTGCTCACACCACCAGCTTCTGGCGATGATTGGCCACAGGGGCCGCCTGCTTATTTGCTTTAGCTTTCTTGCTTTATTTTAAGTTTGATGCTCAATAAAGAGCTTATTTATTGCCTACGTCCGTGTCTCCCTGGTTGTTGTTACAGCTCAACGAGCCGGGTCGTAACAGTCAGTCTGTGGCACTGCTCTGGTGTTATGAGAGCTCAGGTTGCTCTGATGGTGACCTTCAGCTCTTATGAATTGTTGGGTCTGGTGTGCATCATGTCTTCCTCTTTACAATACGCCATAGATTTTCTATGGGGCAAAGGTCAGGTGAGTCTGCAGGTCTGTGTGTAGGTGCCAAGTCCTGTTGGAAAATTAAATCTGCATCTTCGTAAAGTTGGTTAGCAGCAGGAAGCATGAAGTGCTCTAAAACTTCATGGTAGAGGGGTGTGTTGACCTTTGACCTTGGAAAACACAGTGGACCAACACCAGCAGATGATATGGCACCCCAAACCATCAGTGACTGTGGAAACTTTACACTGGGCCTCAGACAACATGGATTCTGTGCCTCTCCTCTCTTCCTCCAGACTCTCTCTGGGACCTTGATTTCCAAAGGAAATGCAAAATTTACTTTCATCAGAGATCATAACTTTGGACCACTCAGCAGCAGTCTAGTCCTGTTTGTTTTTAGCCCAGGCAAGATGCTTCTGATGCTGTCTCGAGTTCAAGAGTGGCTTGACAAGGAATGCGACAGCTGAAACCCGTCTTACATCTGTCCATGGTGGTTCTTGAAGCACCAGCTCCAGACCACCTTTTGAGAATCTCTCCATATTTTTGAATGAATTTTGTTTCAATTCTCAGGATGTGGTTATCCCTGTTGCTTGCCCACTTTTGTTTTTCTCCAACACAACTTTTCCTATCTCTTACCTCTCTTGTGCTTGGACACAGAACTCTGTGCAGAGTGCAAAATGACATTTTGTGCTTTGTCCTCCTGTGCTAGGTGTCAAAGGTCATCTTTTGGACACCTGTCAAGTCAGCAGTCATCCCTGTGATTGTGTTGCCTACAGAACTGGATAGGGAGACAATTTAGAGACCTTAGCAGGTGTTTTTAGTCGATTAGTGTGGCACCAGGGGTTTTCAATTAAAACTCACAGAATACTCCAATTTTCTGAGATACTGAATTTGGAATTTTCAGTCTTCTGTAATAAAGGCATAAATAAAAAATATTTGAAATACATCTGTCTGTATTGTAATGAATAAATACAAATTTCACTTTTTGAATGGAATTACTGATTTAGGTAAACTTTTTCATGATATTCTAATTTTAAGACCATCACCTGTATATTCCCCATCACCAGCACACCATATTTTAATACTTCTGAAAAGCACTGAATTTCCACAGCCAACTTCTTGGCACATGACCTTGTGTGTTTTTCTTTCCGATTGTCAAGTGTTTGCTGGACGAATCTCCACCAGGTGGCGACAGATGTATACTAAAACTAGTTATTTCCAGGATACTGAATTTGGAATTCCTTAAGTTGTAAGCCACAAACAGACGTAAACTGCATAAATACACTAATTTATGCACAACTGGACATTTTGGACCCTTCATGTTTTTAAAATACTTGTAAATTGATGCATTGTAAAACTAGACTCCAGAAATTCAAACTTAAGCCAGTTATATTTAACAGTAACATTAAAATAACAAAATAGAACAGAGATTTTACCAAATGTGAATGTTTATTACTAATAAAGGCCAGAGACACTGGCTAAGAAGACTACACTGGCAAGATTAAATCTGTCCAAAAAAGAAAAGAAAAAACAAAAACAGGGGGACAATCTAAAATCAGCGGTACTTAAATACTCTAAACAGAAACACCCACATTACGTCCTACACAGCTGTAGGCCTTCACACGTCAGCCTCACTCAAATGGTTTTCACGTATTCAGACAAACTTCACAAGCCCTCCAAATAAAAAAAAAAAAACTCAACTTAAACCCCATTTTGATTCAACAAACCTGCAAGCGTCAGAACAAAAAGAAAAAAATTACTGAAAACTGGTTTTATTTGTCAAAAAAGCTCCTTTACAGCGCAACGATTTTAAACTGTAAAGCCAGCACACATGTAAAATACAACCCTTACAATACATTAGAATCAAAACAGGTACCAAAAAGTACAGTAAAAATTACACTTCCAGTGGAAATGTGGAGGGGAAAAAAAAAAAAAAACACACCAAAGGGAAAAGCAAAACAAAAAGGCTAAAAAAAAAAAACATGGAAAAGTTACATTTCAGATGTTTTCTGTACAAATGGTCTTCTGTCATAAAAGAGGTCTTAGTGAACCCAGTGTGTCCGTCCTGCCGTCGGTGTTACTGGATCACTGGAGTCTTGAGGAACACAAAAGGTTTAAGTTAAACTTAAATCTGAATAAAGTGCAAAAACATTATTCATTACCAAAAAATCCCAGAATAATTAAATAAAAACCAATAAGACAGCAAATTCTGTTCATCTGAGCCTACTGTCCTGGTTGAGCTGCTGATTTAAGAACTCCACGCATTTATGTAGCGTATGTGAATGTGTTGCAGTCGGCATACCTTCTGCCACCAAGTGATCATCAGTACGGCTTGTAGCTGGTCTGGTGTGCCCCCCGCCTCGGGGTTTTACCATAGCTGGCATTCCCCTGGTCTGTCATGGAGACAAAACAAGAAAGTCAGACACTTTGGCAGGAAGTTTCTCTACCGTCTCCTAAATATAAACATCAAAGGATGTGGATGGATGTCCATCTTTAAATGGTCACCATTTAATCCCTGCAAACCAAACTGGGACCAATTGGTAGGGAAGAAAAGATGGCAAATGGAGAGAAATACAAAACACACCAAGTGGTGAAGAAAACTCTAAATATGGTCGAAATGAAATTCCCAGCATCTAAGTGTTCTTTCATAATTTCAATACTTCCAAAGACTTGAACACTTCACCCGCTACTGGGACCATCAAGTCATTAGATGTAAAATACTCTCAAAGCCACAGAAATAAAAAATAAAAAAATACAATAAAAATCTGAAGACTGATGAAACAAGTTCATCGACTTATCACTTACTGTAGTCATATCCGGTGCCATATCCATAGTAACCAGAAGAGTAGTCGTAATTGCCGTAGCCACTGTATCCACCGTAGCCATAGCCTTGACTGCCATACCCCGGGTAGTAGTTTCCGTAGCCCTGGTTCCAACTCTGGCTCTGACCTGAGACAACAGTTGATCTTGTTCAGACCGAATACAAAGCAAGGGCGGCCTCCCTGGCCTAAAACCCCTTAAAGACGACTGGTATGCAATGATGCGCTTCCCTTTGGACAATCACTAGAACTCACAAGAATTGAGAAACAAGAGTAACTACGACTAAAACCTAAAAGTAATGAAATGATGAGAAATAAATTGTCCTCCTATGCAGGGGTTCCCAAACTTTTACATGCCATGGAATCCCAAAGAGCATTAACGCCTGGCTGAGGACCCCCTTTTCAAATCAAAATTTGTAGAGAAACATCAACCTTTAGAATGTTTTTGTATTGACTATTGAATAATTACATTTATTAAGAATAACTGCTGTTTCACACCTTCTGATTCTAGATGGCCATGAGTTCTATGGTGGAAAGTTTTATCAGATAATATGTCTATTACAAGATAATAAAATTTTTCATTACAATCCCCTCTTTCTTATAAAAATATGTAATACTTCATACTAATCCCATCAAATTTTACGTCATCCCACAGTTCTTACGGTGCTTGCAGCAGAGTAAGTTCCTTTGCTCTTTTTCATTATCAAACATTTTTATTTCTTGCTTGCTACATTAGCTTGAGGAGCAAAGTAGCTTGATTATTTTTACAGCCAATTTGAAAATGAGCATCAGGAATAACATTTATATCAATTTAAACATTTAA